GCAGAGCATTTCTGAAAAACGCCAGCATGTTCAAAGGGCGATTCGAAAAAGGTCTTTCTGAGTTTCTTTTTGCATTCCTTGTTTTGTCAGTTCTTAATTCTTTCTGCCTTTTCTATCACGTTTCTAAAAAACACTAAACCTTCAACTGGAAGTTCGTTTGTTTATGGTTCCAGCACTTCACTTGAACTATGCTCCTTCTAGCATAGCTAACACTGTTGCTGTTGAGTTCCGGATTTCGGTGTACAATGCGTGTGACTGATACTCTCATATGGCATATAGTTCTTTATTGCAACTGATATCTGTAAATATGTGGTTATTAATAATTATGTGCAGTATAAGCATCCTTTGTAATGCCTTAATGGCACTCAAAGAACGGTGATAATATAATAAATCAATTTCATTTGCAAGTTTCAATGCGCTGCACATTTTAAAAATTATGCTGAACATAACAAATGTCTGTATGGAGTATAACTATCCTTGACATAGAGAAAAGTATTTTAGTATCTGTATTCTGAAGTACTTTTTTTTTTGTCTTTTTGCAAAAGTATCTCTGAAATATCCTGTCACTTCAATTACAAATTTATCTCAGTATCTGTATTTTATGCTTCCAAACCACGCATTTCGATATTTGTATTCCAGAATACTTTTTCGGGCATCTCTGCCTAACCCTAAGCACATATCCACATGGCTCACAATGAGCTGCCAAATGAGACGTGATTGCAGCATCTGATAGCATAAGCTCATGCTCTCTTAAGCACACGTTTATATAACGCCCCATTTCACCTACATATTCGCAGCCGCAGGACAGTAGAATCCGATAAACCACGCCAGTAGTGCAAGGAGCATATCTGTGGACATGACCGGAGACACATTTGTTCCCTTTCCCTGGCTGCTGACACAACGCTCTATCCACCAAAGTACACACATTATGCACTTTATTACATGCTGAGAATGGCATGTTTATGCCATAACGAGCATTAACATTTTTCAAACTATGTACTATCCTGTGTATGTATGAGATAACTGCCTGCCTCTTTTTCTTGCTAATTTCTGGGGCACTAGAATCACAATGATGAAACTTCTTGAGCTTTGAAATAAGTTTTTCCGAGAAGGAGCAAATCACGTCACTCGGAAAGCCAGAATTTGCAAGGCGAGCAACTTGTGTATCAAATGCATGCGCCATAAGGTGCTCGTGTAACTTCTAAAGAGCGGCACCCAGCACAGTTGAAGCAATGGCTCCCTGTATGGTTTTGAGTGGCCAGAATTAAAATTCAGAATTGGCTTTATGAATCTAGGTTGGTATTGCTACAAATGTGATGTTTGACGAAAGCCTGTCTTAAATCAAGAAACTGTAGCTCATCAATTTTTGGCAACTCCGAAGTGAAATGCTGACATCCCATTTTCCTTAAAATCTTTCTTTATATTAGCAACCAGTACAGATCAAACGTTAATGTCCAGTAGAACTAAGAAGTCATGGACATATCAAACAGCGTGTGATGATAACCAATTCAAATGCTTTTGCACCTGCCCGTCTACATACCCAAGAAAAATATAACTAATTACAGGTATATTCATGATTCAATGCAGATGCCAGATTTTTGGACAAAATTATTTTCCTTCCAAGACACCACGGTAGAATTTAGGTAACCTGCATGAGCTCTAAAAACGACGCAATAGAGAAGCCACACTGGCACTGAAACAACAACTCATCGTTATCTTCTCTTATGCACTGCTTTATACATTTCAAATCTTCACATTGGGGCAAATAATAATATGAATCTTTTATGTCTATACCAAATGCGTCGCGACACAAAGAAGGTTGTTCCCTTAGTAATAAGATGACAGTTTCTGAGTTGGAAATTCTTAGCGGATCACAAGTCTTCAAACGCTCCAAATTTTTTTGAGGACACTCTGAAACATTTATTCACCAAGTGTCTTTTTCTGAAACAACAGCTTTTAGTGGCAACATGAATCTTCACTGAAATAAAAACTGATAGTTCTTGCCTTTTTGCTTTTTTCACGCTTGCCGCTACGCATTCCCGATTAAGCATTAGTAACAGGGCATGAACTTATTCACTCAGTCGCCCGCTTTTTGCATCAACACTTTTTTTATTCATATATACCCTAAAGGCCCCAAGCTGCATCCTGCGTGACGAGTTGAAACTCGGAAAGGGCAACAACTCTTACTTTGCCAGCATGGAAGCCCTATGCCTCGGTGCCAGCAGGCGCCACGGTGAGTTCCGGCACCAGTTCTCCGGCCCAGACAAGCTTACACCTCAGCAGCAGGTGAGCAAACTTGAGGGACTTTGATTCAAGACAGATGCCACTGGCATCACCGGTGATGGGGTTGAACGTGTGTGAGCACCCAAGTAGTATTCTGTCATGAGTGTTGTGGCGGTACCTTCCTAGGTAGCTTTGCATTACTACTAGTGTTGCATACTTTAACTTTCATGGGGCTTGAAAGCAACACAATTAAGCAATCTCCCGTGAAAACCCTGCACCGTGTCATAAAATATGTCTCTCCTTCTCTCTATTTTAGTCCCTTATTCTCCTCCCCACATGTAGGGTAGCTATAAATGGATTCAGTCCAGTTAACCTCCCTTCCACAGCATCACACTGCTAAGCTAGTACTAGTCACAGGTCCAATTCCTAGTCACAGTGACTGCGTTCATTGCGCATAAAGGCAAAACTGCCTATGTATTCAGGTGCTCATTAAAAGCCCCAGTTCAAATTCAGAGGATGTATAGCATCCCTCAGGCTTGTTGAAAAAATATGTGCAGCCAGAACTTTCATGAAGGCCAAATCTCGCAGTCGTGTACTGCAAAGGGAACGAAGAAGCAGAGTGCAGGGTTGCCATTTTCCCAGGCGCCCTCTTTTCACACGGCGCTTGCACTCGCTCTATTCAGTACCGCCGAAGTGTCCCGTTTGGTGTTGAACCACAGATGGCATGCTATTGGCCGATAGCCAACATTGATCAACGTTGGCTTGTGGATGAGACGTGCTTCTTGTTACAGCATGCTGCCGTGTACCAGCACGCTTTTAGTCTGCTTCTAAACAACAGTGAGCCCCACTCGCACGGGAATCGCAACAGCAAAGAGCGATTACATGTTGTCATGTATGATCCAAGTCACGACGCATTGACCTAACTTCTTTCTCGCAAGCCGTTCTTTCCCCCATAGCTTCCAGCACGCTGGTCTGGATAAGCATGACAAATCTGTGTAGCTGCCCTTGGTCTTTACGGATTCAAGAAACTCTTCAGGCAATCAGTTCTTCAGGCAATAAAATTTGATACCGAGGTCATTCGACGATTTCTTAGAAAAGTTGTTCATGACCTCTTCAATTTTGAGATACCCATTATGGTGTGTCTCGTAATCGTATTGTAGTTTTGGCACGTTGACCTCCTTTACTGCAAAGATTTGCTATGAATATTGTTTCTCATTTTTTGCGCTTCTTGTGCCTGGCTGCGATGTGTGTTCTTGCAAGAGGACAGAGGTACGAACCACCTAATCGACAATGCACCAAGAAAATGTGTTGAAGGCGTGTGCCTAATATTATTGTTGTACTTGCACAACCTTTAATCATGGTTGATGCACATTTGTCAACAGTATAGTACACTCGAACATCATTATAACAAACTTGCATCTTACATGAAAATAAGTTCGTTATATCTGAAAATTCGTTATAGAGGTTTATTCTTAACACTACATCTATTGCGAGACTATCATTTACTTCTTTATAATCGATATTTCATTATATCCGGATTCGTTATATCGAGGTTTGAGTGTAGTGGCATTGTCAATCTTACTGCTGTCAGCCACTTGTAAAATGGCATATGTCACAATCGAGCCTGTGATAAGGTTCTGCATGCAAATAAAAACCACGAGCTTGCATATAAATTCATTCCATCAGCCAGCTTGTACACGTCATCTGTCTTCTCAACTACCACTTGTATCAGTCTTTTTTCATTCTTCATTTATTTATTATCCCTGTCTCTACAACTAAACTAAGCGAATAAGCATTTTATTGCCCACCTGTCTATTATGGGCTGCTTGTTTTCCAGCAGTGATTAAAGATTGAAGTATCAAGATTGATCGTTGCAAGGCTGAATGCTGGAGGAGAGGCTAGTAATTTAATGAAAAAGCTTACATGCTAAAAACATTTAAAACAAAATGGCAATAACAAAACCATTCGCGTTGTTGCCTTTTTGTCGTTTTTCAACACAGTCCGACGACTTTTTATTCTTGAAGTAAACTCAAAGATCTTTTCATCCTATCTTGTTTATCCTAGCGTTATGACAACTAGAAAACATTTCGTTTAATCCCCTCCTTGGTTTCAACGCTTGATTCATTCAATCAAATGTCTCAGTCTTCTAAAAATTCTTGTTTATTCAGGTGGAATGTCTCATAGAGTAAGCCACTGACCCGGCAAACTTAGGGCTGACGTGGAGAGGCTAGCAGCCATGGCGGTAGTCGCTTCCAATTGTTAACTGTGATTGTTTTGTTATGGTTTTCAGCTTGCTAACAATGATTTGTTTGTTACATAGTAATTTGTGTGCATATGCTATTTCATCGCGTTTTAGTTTATCACTTTATGTACCAATTCAGAAGACGCATTCCATCGGTATTAAGTGGTGTCGTGTCAGTGCACCCTTCCTTTTTTGTAATAAATGTTGAAAACTGAAGGTTTTGAAATGGAGTTTTCTAAATGATGGTACTATCGACACACCTACAGACTTGAATACGTTCTCAGAATAATTTTGAAACCCAAAATAAAGTGCAACTCGACATAATGTCAATACTTATCCTTTCAGTGTGATGTTGCATTTAGTAATTTTAACTACTCTTACCCTCCTGACTCTTCTCTAGTTATATGCTTGCATGTGTTTAAATGTGTACTTCTATATATACGCATTCAAACTGAAAAATCTCGAGTAGGGCATTATCTACGAATAATTCACTCCTGATATACATAGCACTACGTATAAATAAAAAGAAACGAAGTCAAAGTTGCAAAACGTTTTAATAACGCATAGCGTTGATCACAGCATTAGGTGCAGACAGCACACCTTTTGTTGAACACATCACAATAATGAGTATGTAACGAAAAGCACCGGAACGTTTCTGGCGAGGAACGGGACTGTTTGTAGATTATTAATGTAGTGGCAGTCCCCGTCACAATAGACCGCCGGATATTTAAACGCCCTTCACAAAAGTACAGTTGCTTTTGCAATGATGCATTTGATGTCATTGAGGTAATTCGTCACATGTTGCTTCTCGTGTGCCCGTCAAGCTGGGCGCTAAGGGCGCATCAGTCGTGACAGTGCCGGTCATTCCGTCCGAAAATTATGCTGTTGTACGAGAGCATCTTTCTCTCATGATCTTCGAGGCGCTCATACGTCGCCAAAATGCGTCACTTCAGAATGAGCGGGTTGCATACTCGAGAAATTGTCGTCAGCATTGTGGAAAGGCTGGCAAAGAGGTCCTCCGAAATTCCCTGAAACAATAAAAGGTGAGCTTTGAATGTGGTCTAAACGTGATGTTATAAGAATGAGCAATTACACACCCATAATGACACTATTTATGCCACATGCAATGTCCTTATAAGGAGATTGGATTATAAAGCTCTTCAAGCTGCTAGTATTAAGTTATGCATAGTATAGCTTGAGTTCACACTGACTTGGGTTCAAGTTTCAAAGTATGTGCAGAACTGAGGCGACGTAGTAAAATGAATGTCTGCTGATGTTGAGTAGACCTGCTTAAACTTTTCAATAACAGTACTGATTATTGTTCTGTACTAGTGGTGCTTGTATTGCGGTGCTAATAATTCGAGCATTAGAGGCAGGTCGCTGTCGCCACTCTGAAAAGCTAGTTCATGATGAATAATTGCCTGTTTACACCATATCTTTTTTTGTTTACCACAGAATCGCCAAACGCTAGTTATGAATGGCTTTTCGTGTGCGAAATTCTCGCAATGTGGAACTTGCTTGCCGATATAACATATATTGTCACGTGGTTTGACAAAGAAGAAAGCAAACACAGCCGGTACAGAAGAAATGCTTTATTAGGCTAGCTTGTGCCCAGAAAACTACGGAACTTAATGCATAAGCAATGCATGCCGATAGCGGGGGTCACGGTTGTCGACCATCGGCAATCTGACCCTGGTGGAATGTGTTTTCTTTTTACGCATATGTGATCAAAACTACCCGCATTATTGCTGGGGCTTGTGTAAGCTCTCAAATAAACTTGACTAGTACTCACGTGATGCACGTAACTTTGACCGAACAATCCAAAACTATTGCAAAGCTTCCCAAATGTTGCTGGGTAGCCCGCGCTGAGCGGTGCTGACAGCTTTTGCGGGTGAAACCCAATCACATCAAAATAAAGAAGTTAAAGGGCATGCAGCGACATTTTGCTAGTTCTTCACGAAAAACTTAACAAAATACTCACGAGCCATTTTTATCGTGTTAACTAAATTCTATTTGCCACGTCATCATTGTTTTCTTTTTTTTCATTTCTACTTTCACACGTGATTACAACCCCTAGATTAGCAGACTACCCGAAACTGCAAAAACTTGTAGCTTCTTTTGCCAATATAATAACTCTTTTTTGATACATTACACGATTGTATCTCGCTCATATTAGAGTACTCACGAATGAATACGCGACATCGTTTTTTTTTTTCTTGGTATGACAACTGCAGAGAGCAATTGCTCGAGATTACAGCATCGTGTCACTGGGAATCTGGTTACTAATGGTAGTTTTGGCTTTAGTGTAGGACCTGGAGTCAGAATTATGCCAACTTACACGAACTGGGGTGCGGCGATGGCATAGCGGTTAGAGCATCCGCTTCGCATGCAAGAGGTCCGTGGTTCAAATCCCGGTGCCGCGCAGTTTCCTAGCGGATTAAAAAAAAAAAAAATCCGCGTGTTGATGGAACTGCATTAAGAGGCCTGGGGTGCGGCCTCACCGGTAACCACCGCCGGGAACGCACTCCCTCACCAGAGAAGGATTGGCCACCCTGGTGCAGTATCTGGCCACTACCTCCCACATGCATACGTCAAATAACTCACGGCCCTCAGTCCCCAGCAGCTGCAAAGCAACTGACCACGGCGGCGGTCAGATCTGCAACGCAGCAGAGGGTGCTAAGAATCTCTGGATCCGGACAGGCCGCCATTGGAACCTGAACTTGGCAACGTTTAACGCTAGAACCTTATCTAGTGAGGGAAGTCTAGCTGTACTATTTGAGGAGCTAGAGGGTGTTAAATGGGATATAATAGGGCTCAGTGATGTCAGGAGGACAGATGAGGCCTATACTGTGCTACAGAATGGGCACGTCCTTTGCTATCGGGACTTGGCAGACAGAAGAGAACTGGGAGTGGGGCTCCTAATTCACAGAAACATAGCTGGCAACATTGAGGAATACTAAAGCATTAATGAAAGAGTGGTAGGTATTGTAATTAAACTGAATAAAAGATACAAGATGAAGGTAGTACAGGCTTACGCGCCTACATCCAGCCATGATGACGCTTCAGTTGAAAGCTTCTATGAAGACATGGAATCGGCAATGAGTAAGGTAAAAACACAGTATACTATAGAGATGGGCGACTTTAATGCAAAGGTAGGGAAGAAGCAGGCTGGAGACCAGGCAGTAGGAGATTATGGCATCGGCACTAGAAACGCCAGAGGAGAGCTACTAGTAGAATTCGCAGAACGCAATAAATTGCGGATTTTGAATACCTTCTACCGAAAACGAGAAAACCGCAAGTGGACATGGAGGAGCCCTAATGGCGAAAATAAGAACGAAATAGACTTTATAATGACTGCACACCCAGGAATCATGCAGGATGTGGAAGTGGTTGGCAAGGTACGATGCAGTGACCATAGAATGGTACGGTCTCGAATTCGCCTAGACTTGAAGAAGGAACGACAGAAACTGATACGCAAGAAGCCAACCAATGAGCTAGCACTGAGAGGGAAAGTACAGGAATTCAGAGTGTCGCTGCAGAACAGGTACTCGGCTCTTAGTGAGGAAACTAACCTTAGCGTAGATACAATGAATGATAATCTGACGAGTATCATTACAGAGTGTGCAGTAGAATTTGGAGGCAGGGTAGTTAGACAGGACACTGGCAAGCTTTCCCAGGAAACGAAGAACCTAATTAAGAAGCGTCAAATCATGAAAGTGTCAAGTACAACAGACAAAATAGAACTGGCAGAGCTTTCGAAGTTGATTAATAGACATGAAGTATGCGGTGTAAGAAGGTATAACATAGAGAGAATTGAACACGCTCTGAAAAACGGAGGAAGCGTCAAAGCAGTGAAGAGGAAACTTGGGATAGGCAAAAGTCGGATGTATGCACTAAGGGACAAAGAAGGCAAAATAACTACCAATATGGATAGGATAGTTAAAGTAGCGGAGGAGTTTTACAGAGATCTGTACAGTAGCCGAGACAACCACGACTTTAATACTATAAGAACTAGCAGTAACCCAGATGACACCCCACCAGTAATGATAGAAGAAGTCAGAAAAGCTTTGGAGAGCATGCAAAGAGGCAAAGCTACTAGTGAGGATCAGGTAACATCAGATCTGCTGAAAGATGGAGGACAGATTGTGTTAGAAAAATTAGCCACCCTGTTTACGAGGTGTCTCCTGACGGGAAGGGTACCAGAGTCTTGGAAGAACGGTAACATCATCTTAATACATAAGAAAGGAGATGACAAGGACTTGAAGAATTACAGGCCGATCAGCTTGCTCTCTGTAGTATACAAGCTATTTACAAAGGTAATTGCTAACAGAGTAAAGAAAACATTAGAATTCAATCAACCAAAGGAACAAACAGGATTTCGAACAGGCTACTCAACAATTGACCACATTCATACTATCAATCAGGTAATAGAGAAATGCTCAGAGTATAACCAACCACTATACATAGCCTTCATAGATTACGAGAAGCCGTTTGATTCAGTAGAAATATCAGCCATCATGCAGACACTGCGGAATCAGGGCGTAGATGAAGTAGATATAAACATTCTGGAAGAAATCTACAGGGGATCAACTGCTATCGTAGTGCTTCATAAAGAAAGCAACAGAATACCAATCAAGAAGGGTGTAAGGCAGGGGGACACAATCTCCCCAATGCTATTTACCGCATGCTTACAGGAGGTTTTCAGAAGCCTAGAATGGGAACAGTTAGGGATAAGAGTTAATGGAGAATACCTTAGTAACCTGCACTTTGCCGATGACATTGCATTGCTGAATAACTCAGGGGACGAATTGCAACTCATGATTACGGAGTTAGACAAGGAGAGCAGAAAGGTGGGTCTTAAAATTAATCTGCAGAAAACGAAAGTAATGTACAACAACCTCGGAAAGGAGCAGCGCTTCGAGATAGGTAATAGTGCACTTGAAGTTGTAAAAGACTATGTCTACTTAGGGCAGGTAATAACCGCTGAGCCTAACCACGAGATTGAAGTAACTAGAAGAATAAGAATGGGGTGGAGCACATTCGGCAAGCACTCTCAAATTATGACAGGTAGATTGCCACTATCCCTCAAGGGGAAGGTATATAACAGCTGTATCTTGCCGGTACTTAGCTACAGAGCAGAAACCTGGAGACTTACAAAGAGGGTTCAGCTTCAATTGAGGACGACGCAGCGAGCAATGGAAAGAAAAATGGTAGGTGTAACCTTAAGAGACAAGAAGAGAGCAGAGTGGATTAGGGGACAAACGGGGGTTAAGGATATCATAGTTGAAATAAAGAAGAGGAAATGGACATGGGCCGGGCATGTAGCGCGTAGACAGGATAACCGCTGGTCGTTAAGGGTAACTAACTGGATTCCCAGAGAAAGGAAGCGGGTTAGGGGGAGACAGAAGGTTAGGTGGGCAGATGAGATTAAGAAGTTTGCGGGTATAAATTGGCAGCAGCAAGCACAGGACCGGGTTAACTGGCGGAACATGAGAGAGGCCTTTGTGCTGCAGTGGACGTAGTCAGGCTGATGATGATGATGATGACCCTAAAGGCCCATTCGGGCATTACATAGGGAGTTTTAGTTGTACAATAAATTTGCAAATCAGAACATTGCCATTATAAAATTAAAGTGGTAAACAAAGTAAAATACAGTTCCATAGACAAAGATGCAAAAGGGAAAAAAAATTGTGGCAGGAATGAAAACTCAATAAAAGAGACACAGCTATAGTGCGAAAAAATATATATACAGAAAATTGCCATGAAAAAAATTGGCCCCGTATCTGCATATTTGACTAAAAATGTTCTCGAAAGACTATCGTCTTTCGCCTGAAAAGAGTGAATAGAATGAAATATTTATTTGATGTTTTGCACGAGAAAACTGATGAATGAGATCCTGGAGGTGTTGCTTGAGACATGAGCGCCATCTGGCGGTAATCTCAGAAAACGAAAGGATGGCCTTTGTTATAGCGAGCACGCAGCATGCGTGCAATCTTGGAGGCCATATTTTGTTAGATTTCAAGATAGG